AAAAAAAAAAAAAAAGCAACCACACACACCTGCCCTCACTATGAGATTTTGCAATAGTTTGGAAAAACTGAACGACTGTCCATTTAAGATAGAATGCGCCTCGCTCTGGCCCGGCTGCCATGAATGAACAGCCTCGCTCTGGCCCAGCTGCCGCTCGGAAGCAATCGCCCAGTGTCTGCTCTGGAAGCTGCAGGGCTGGAGCGCCACGTGGCTTGGGGACCAGCCATTTTCCCATTCATAGGAACTTCTGTTGAGATAATAGATGTTATTGGCAGCCTTATCAAGGAATCTCATCCTATTCTTTTTAGTCATTTTCTGATCAGTTTCACAATCCCATTTTTAAAAAACAACCTGTCTAGATTGATTTTTCCTGCCTCTATAAAGTGCAAGCAGTAAACTCGTCTCCTAGCCTCTGGGCTCAAGCAAGCCATTATTTTTTCTCTCTCTCTCTTCCTTCACATACACAGACACAGAGAGACCCTACCTAGATGCTCTACACTATAACCGCAGCTGCAGCTGTTGGGAAATGTGCCTGGCTGCAAAACTAGAGTGTCATGTCACGATCATTGCCTTCAACAGAAATTTATGTTCAAGCAAAGAGGGTCAGGAACTTCTTCCCATATACCAACAGCTCAGTATTTTGGGAAACTGCCAAACATACACGCTACAGGAAACGTAAGAAAAGGAACATGCAATTTACTTTTCCCCACTCAGCACAGATTGGGGTTGAGGGGATTTTTGGTACTCCAATGGCTGCAAAACTGGGGGTAGAACACTGACTTTATAGCAAACTTTGAATTATTTCATTCAGCTGGAAGAAGCATAGATTGGCTCATGCTTTATCTGCATCTCCTCAGCATTTTAACATCAGCAGGATGGCTATGATTGCACCACCAATCTTCCTCAAGTACTTTGGAGAATGATGCTGTAAGGAAGCCCCTCAGCCTCAGACCACACCATCCTCACAAGCAGGATGTCCCAGAGCCAGGAAGTAGCAGAGGCTCCAAGGTCGACTGCTTGAGACCTGCAGGCATGAGGATGTGACCCATGGGAAAAGAAAGGAAGGCCCACCTATGCACTGTGTTAAGAAATTTGCCAGCAATACCTTGAGAGTTGGCTGACTAAACCAAGATAGGGACCCCCCAACCCAACTCTCAATCATTGCTATTGCTCCATTCTTGAGCTTAGCCCACAACCTTCTCTACATGCCTGCGCTCAACTCCTGCTGTGCTCACCTTCATCAGCGCTCCCCCATTGCTAGCAGCTTCACCTGCCTACTTCATATTCTGTCCATGCCTTCATTTGTCCCTTTTTCAGCTTTCCTAACCCAAGCTTGGCCTGAAATACCACTATACCAGCAATATATAAAATTGCTGAAGACTTGGAGCATATTCAAGCATGTTAAGCATTCCTGATAAGAGTATTATAGAACTACTTCTAGCACCAAGTTTTTTGATGAGCAGTTTTTATTTAATGTTTTTACAGAAGTTTTAGCTGGAAGAGAGGACTCTTTGGAAAAGACCCGGGAAAGATGGAAGGCAAAAGGAGAAGGGGACAGCAGAGGATGAGATGGTTAGACAGCATCCCCGAAGCAATGAACATGAAATTGAACAAACTCCGGGAGGCAGTGAAGGACAGGAAGGCCTGGCGTGATATGGTTCATGGGGTCACGAAGAGTCAGACACGGCTTAATGACTGAACAACAACAAACTGTAAGCCACCTATGCTCGTATAAGTAGACAGCATAAAAAGGCTGGCAAATAAATAAACAAATCTGATATTAAAATGTTGGAATAAGTGGGACTTTCTTTTGAATAAACACACAGAGGGATGACCAAAAAGAAACACTGTGTTTATTTCCGTATGGATCAGCCCTATGGATATATTTACTAAAGTGTATGAAGTGCTTTTTTCTTGATCTGGTAAGAATGCAAAGAGATGCAAACTTTAAATTTTCACCAAGAAATATATGGTTTAATAGGGAATGACAACATAAGTAAATACCCCTGTCCCCACATATATGTACAAAATACTGAAATCCTAAACATGTATTTCCTTTCAGCCACAACACACATTTCTTTATTCAATGTTAGGCAGGTGTATACATATGTGAACACAGAAATTTGTGTTTCCAAGTGCGTGTGTATGTAATCTTTACCCCATGCACTCTTTCCCCAAGGCTATTCAATATAACATTCAAACTAGAGTGTACAATGCCAAGAAAAATAGGCAGATAGATAGGCCAAACCCCCTAACAATTTATTTTACACACTTAAGACTTATGTAAACCTGTCCCTGACCACATCATTATTTTAATCCAGTGCTTCATTTGCAGGAATTCCTATCCAAGTGAATTTGATTGTTGCAATATATAGCTGATAAATTAAAATGGAATCATTACACTGAATGTTAATCTAGTCCAAAGTACTTATTAGTTAAACTGCTTTGAAGGTGAGACTCAATCCTTTGCCAGTACAGTCAATAACACTTGTGAATTAAATGTTAGCCTAAAATGTACCATGAACTAAATTGGATGTAAAGCTTAAATAATACATTATCTAACTACTAAAACTAAAAATATGCTTTAAAAATACTCATAAATTTACTATAAAAATAAAGAAACTGCATAAAATATATACACTCTGGTTCAGTTTTTTCCTCTATATCAGTTTGGCCTCATACATTCAGATATGTTTTAATTTTAAAAATGGTTAAAGTTTTGGACAAGACAATTTAATTAGTTTTAATTTAATATTATCTAATTCAGAGTAAATTTTAGAATCTGGATCCTCCATTAATTCACAGGACAAAATAGTTTAGGCTGCAATCTTATATGCACTTACTAGAAGTAAGGCCCTTTCAGGCTTATTTCTAGGCACATATATAAGATTTTGCAGCAAGTCCTTAAACATTTAATAGGTAAAGAACAGTGTTTCTCAATCTTGGCAACTTTAAGCTGTGTGGGTTGCTGCTTGGGGAATTCTGGGAGTTGAAGTCCACACATCTTAAAGTTGCCAAGGGTGAGAAACACTGGTATAGAAAATATCAGTGAGAATAAAAATGGTACAGACTTGAAGCTTTCCATTCTGGGAAACTCACCCTTCCTGATAGTTATATAGTTACTTTGAGATGCAAGTTCTTGCACAGAGTCTAGGCCCATAAGTCAATTTTCACAGGGTCCAAATCTCTCCTTGTGCAGGAACGTACAATCAATGGTACTCTTAAAAGTGCAGTAAGAGTCCGTCACCCAGTTATTAAATCAGACAATTATATAGCAAGCTGACAGTACTAGCAGTACTAATAGTTCAAAAGACAGAGAACTGGTGAATCAGATGGCACCTGATTTACAAAGCATTGTCTTCACAGAAGGTACAAGATAAACTCTGCATCACCAGGGAGTTGTAGCTTTTCACTGTTCCCCCCCCTATTGCGAACAATTGAGAAGAAATCTTTGGTGTTGTTAAAGCCCATCATATTCAAACAAACTGTAATTTGATGGTATTGATATGCTGCTGAAACAATATCAGAAACAAAGCTATCATATAACTTCAGTCTCAGAAATCCCACTGTACTCTGCAGAGATTTTGTATGATGCCCTGATTTCAATTTTCTATCTGGAACAGAATGAATAAAAGTCCTTTTTTTACTATTTAACTGTGAATCCAAACTATTGTCGAATTTGTTGAAATGAGGAATGGATTAAGTAATGAAATCATTCTTCGTTGAAGAAGAATTATATCCTGAAATATAAGGATTGATCTTACAAAGAGTATAAATCAAATGGACTTCATGTTCCACTGAACACTGCCCTCTCTCTCACCACCACTACCCCTTTCTCAAGAATTTGCATTAATGGAATTAACATTATTTAAGTTCCTGTGGTTTCCATTCATGCCGATGTCTCATTTACAATCCTTACTGTAACTTTAATTAAATGTGGTCCTTCCTTAACAAACAACAGTTCATTCTTCACTTTCCAACCTAAACTGCATACTTCAGCACTGAATACATAAAAAATGATTGACACATACTGGGTTCATAATAATCCATCACGGTCACAGAAGCATCCTGGGTATTTGCCACCTTGAAGTCTCTCACAGCTGGAATATCCATACAAACCTGTGGTTTGTTTAGCTAAAAAATAAAAGATAAAGCCTTCAGAGAAGTCTGTATGCTTCCATAGTGAATACATATGGAAAACTAGAGGTTTAATTAATAGTTTAACTTATTTAAAAAAACAGAAACTTCATATGCATCCATCTTTAACTGCATTACCCAAAACAGTAGATATAGGTGTATATTCAAAAAAGACCATCCTTTCTGGCAATGTTATCTATAGTTCACCAATAAGAGTAGACATAATGTATTGCACTAGTGGAGTAGAATCACAAACAGGAACTGATTCACACACACAAAGACAAAAGTAAAAAAAGTCTAGTACAGAATCATACATACCAAAATTCATTCTTATCGACCTACTTGTTTTGAAAGTAAATACAGGTAGACTTTGCTTAACAACTGCCTCGGACAGCGACTATTCAAAGTTACAACGGTGATGAAAAAGTAACTTTGCGACCAATGCCCGCATTTATGACCTTCGCAGTGTCTCTCTCTCTGTCACATGCTCACCATTACAGTCAGTTACTACGCATTGTCCTGTGCCTGACCCTTTTTTTTGCCCCCCTTCACAGAGCAGAAAGATTGCTTAAATATGCTATCTCTTCCTAAGCTGCTTTTCTCTGCAGCACAGTGATACCCCAAAAGGTGCTAACTGCAAGTTAACAACTCAGTTCTGGGACCTTAATTATCTGGCTTGAGGCTGTTGCCTGTAACTGACAAGACTTTAATCAGTTTCACACCTTTGGCTTTTGTTTGCCTCCTAAGTAGCTCAGAGCTCTGAGCCATGAGCTGCTAGGCAAACAGCCAACACCAACGCATTCCTTTCAGTGTGTATCCCCCACTGTGTGCCTGCTTACTCTCTTATAATCCCTTCCTCTCTAATGAATGCAAATACAAACATCAATTCTCTTCTTGCTAATAATCCTAGTGCCCAGCAACCAAGTTGCCAGTCCCAATTGTGGTCACTAAACAAGGACTACCTGTACAGTTACACTACTACACTTACCAACCACAAGTGGGACCGACAACTCCATCACTAAGTGCTATGTCATGTGACCACGATTTGTGACTTCCCTCCAGCTTCCCCACTGACTTGCCAGAAGCAGGCTGTGAAAGTTACAAATGGCAATCATGTGACCGTGATTGCACACTGGTTGCCAAACACCTGAATCATGATCACATGACCATAGGGATGCTGTGACAGCCACAAGTTTGAGGACCAGTCGTCTCGTTTTTCAACAACATCATAACTTTGAATGGTCACTGAACAAGTAGTCAGTAAGCAAGGACCACCTGTACCATGTGAATTTGCTTTTAGGCATCAATCTTTTACACATCTCCTGAATAAACACACAGATGCTTGCACTACTAGTGTGCTTAATCTTGGCACAGCATGGCTCCCAAACAGAAAAAAACAAATAGAGCAAGCTCGCTATGACAATTTTTCAGAACATATTGCAACACCCCACTTTGCCACATTTTAGGGCAATATTGCCCTGTATTATCAGTTGCAGGAAGGACTGTTTACATGTTTTGCATTTCTGGAAATAAATATTAAAAAACATTTGGATACAAAATGGCTAGATTCTAAAATATTCTGATTAAGTCCTGTTAATAAGAGTAACTTTACATGATTGTAAAAGTGGCAAATACTGGTAGGGTTCCCATATTATGGGAATATGCTGGGTTAAATTGTGGGATGTAATTATTCTGATGTCATTATGGGTGAAATCACTTTTCTAAATAAGCAAGATTGCCATATATTGTGTTTGAATGCAAAAAAACAAGTAGTAAACTTATGTGTGTGCATTTTTAATCAAGCAATTATTTTGGTAATTTAAGTTTCTTATACCATTCCTTAGCTTCACCCATTCAGACAGCTTCAATATAAAAAGAATAGAGTAATTCTTTTCTGTTTCTCCTTTCCTCAACTATGAAGACAGAAAGTTTAGAAGTACAGGCTTTCTATCAGAGCTTGTAACTTAATAATTTTTATTTGGCCTTTTGGATCTTAAACATCTGTCTCTACATATTCTTACAGGGCTTGGTCAAACTTACACAAGTATACTTCATTAAACATGGTCTCTCCTAAATGAACTGGAGGATTCCAATTAAGTTACCTCAAAATTTTGTCTACAGTGTTGACAAAATGTAATGTTTATTTTAAATAATAATTTTTTAAAAACTTTTCACAAATATACAACATCTCAATGTTAGTAGTTTTTGAATCAAAGCTTCAGCTCATCATCTTTCTGACCAGTATGTCCTTGTTTTAACTTACAGAGTCCAAATATAAATGGATTTTGCCTTCATCTTTTTCCACCTTTTTAACTGGGCCATCTAAATGACACAAAACCGGGTGACAGAGAGAAACCACTCAGTAATCCAAACTCCATGACAGCCATGCCACTTCTTAAAGATGAGCCAGTACCCAGATATCTAACAAACAAAAAAGAATGATTTACATAGAAATAACTGTGCATGCACACATACATACACAAGCATGCAATGTTACTAATTCTTAGTACAGTAAAACCTTGGATTGCGAATAACTTGATCTCCGAGTGTTCCGCAAGACGAACAAACATTTCTAATAAATTTAAACTTGATAAACGAGCGATGTCTTGCAATACGAGTAGAACGTGACACCGAATGTCACATGATCACAACTGAGCCAATGGTTCTTCTCTCTCTCACTGCGGGATTGTGGGTGATCATCTCCCATGCTAGTGATAGTGAAAGTCATCCTACACAATAACCCTCCTCTCTCGTCTCCCTCACACCAGCCACGAAGGT